AGGAATAGATATGTGTTTTCCAACAAAACATGTTTCCTTAAATTATGCTAAGCATTACCTTAATATATACAAAAACATAGTTTTTTCGTTTTTTTTTAATTTTTAAGAAGCTATTTTTATCGAAAAATGATTTTAAATATACCAAAATTCATGATTTGTTATTCTCTACAAATAGACATCCATATTGATATAGTTTTAAGATAAAATAATTTTTTTTTTATATTTTCAGCTATCGTTATTCATAAGTGAATAAAAATGAATCAGGTTTTTACTACAGTACATTCGTTATTCAATTATGAATAAAAACTATGATTAATTTTTTTTACAATTTAAGTATCATTCATATATGAATATAACATATAATAAACATAGTATATTCATATTTAAATATTAGACAATGCATTCACTTGTGAATATTACATAGTATATTCACTTGTGAATATTAGATGGTATATTCACTTATGAATATTAGATAATATTTTCATATCTGAATATTACATAGTATTACATGGTATATCATATGTGAATATTACATAGTATATTCACTTGTGAATATTAGATGATATATTCACTTATGAATATTACACAGTATATTCACATATGAATATTACAAGGTATTTTCACAAATATATATATATAATTTTTATATGTTATTCACATATGAATAACATACAGACTTGCATATTTGTTTTTTTGTTTTAATAATCATATATTGATTCAGGTGAGAAAACATATTCATATATGAATATAACGTGATAATTTAGTTTATGCATTTCATCAAACAGTTGGAACACATAAAATTTAACTTTTTTAAAAATGTTAAAAACATGATACTTTGACTATTTAAATCTTACAAAATAGTAGATTGATAGAGAATTATATGAATTTTTTCAAAAAAAAAAAACGATTTGATCTTTTTCTAACCTCAAGTTTGAAGTTTTATTTGACAATCGATGTTGAATGAATGATATGAAGTGGATTTTTTGTTGATTATCGATGATGTTGATCTAATGACGCTGGGAGTATAATTAATCGTAGATGTTGAAGATCTGATCGTATGCAAGCAGAATTGAAGGTTAGATTAAAAGAACCAAAAACGAATTTTTGTTGTTAACTGTTGAATCGTGTTGATAAACATGTTATTGACGAAGATCGATGATTGATTAACACTGGATGATGTTGATGATGGTTTAATTGAAGAAATCTGGATGATTGTTGAAGGTTGGAGGAGAAATTTGGATGATGAACGATCGATTAGAAATGGGTTTGAATTGTTATCTATTTCTATACAGTTACGTATTTGAGCTTAAAGGTTATTATCATATTTACAAGTTTGCCACCGTGTCTTTTTATGCTTAGATTAAATGAGTGGCTGAGAATGATTCCCCCATTCTCAACATTTTTTATTTTCTCAATTTAACCAACATCTATATATATATACATATATATATAATATATATATATATATATATATAATATATATATATATATATATATATATATATATATATATATATATAGGGAAGAGTTATTTGGAAACAAAAAAAAACCTAAAAAATCATAAAAATGCATAAAAAAAATACTTAGAGATCACAAAACTTTTTTTGAATTTTTTTTTGAAAAATCGCAGCTTTTTATACAAAATCGGTGAAAAAAATTTTGAAAATTTTTTTTTTTTTACAAAAAAAAAAATGATTTTTTTTTCAGCGAATTTTAACAAAAACCTGTGATTTTTTTATAAAAAAAAATTCAAAAATATTTTTTGTGATCTCTAAGTATTTTTTTTATGCATTTTTATGATTTTTAGGGTTTTTTTGTTTTCCATAGAACCTAAACCTATATATATATATATATATATATATATATATATATATATATATATATATATATATATATATATATATTACTTTGCAAAACGATGATTGATATTTTAATTAATGACCGAAATAGTCAACTAAGTAATTTATAAACTAAATAATATTAATAACTTTAAAAAATAACACTAAATAAAAACAATATATAATTTATTTCTTCCATCAATCGAGAACCATATATAATTTATTTCTTCCATTGGGCACCAAAAGTGAACGCCAATAATGTGTTTGTGTTTTTTTCTTTGTTCTTGGCTAAACAATTAGAGAGAGAAGTAATGCTTAGAGGCTTTAGCCCTTTTCGTTGATATTTACCCTTTTAATCAAAATTTCAAATATAATAATTAAATATTGATTAACTTTTAAATAACTATTAGCTTCTTTTTTTTTATGGGAAAATGACATAAAAGCCCTTAAGTTTTCACAAAAATGTCGGTTTTAACATTGGACGTGTTTTAGATCCAATAAAATCGGATTTTTTGTTTAATTTGTTCATTTATACCATTTTAATCGGTTTCCAGATAACCTACCGGTTACCTAATGCCAGTAAATCTCTTGAGTTTTCAAAAATGTTCGGATTTACCCTTAAGTTATCAAAAATGTTCGGATTTATCCTTACTTTGATTATTATTTTGATTATTATTATTATTATTATTATTATTATTATTATTATTATTACACTTTTTAGTGTATAAAAATATTTTATACATACATTTTTAAATGTATAAAAATATTTTTATTAATTCAAATATAATTTTAAAAATATATATACTTGTATTTAGTATTTATATACATTTGAAAGCCTATGTATTCCTTTATAAATGTATTTATATATTAAAAATATATTTATTTGTATTTAGTAGGTATAAATATATATTTATTTCATATAAAAATATATTGTATACATACAAATATAAAAATACATATTTATAAGGTTTATATTGTATAAATAATATAATTATACGTATTTATACATATTACTAAGTATAAATATGTATTTATTTCATATTTATATGTATACGATAGTTTTTATACAAAATAAATACATATTTATATTATTAAATAAAAATATTTGTAAATGTATAAATAAATTTTTAAATGTATAAATATATTTTTGTTTGTATTTAATAGATATATTTATTTGTATTAAATTGTATTTAATAGATATAAGTATTTATTTATTTTGTATAAAAACTATCATATACATATAAATATGAAATATACTTATTAAGCAAACACCAAAAACTTTTTTTTTTGTTTTGGTTGATGAATCACCCAAAGAATTAAAAAAATGTTTTGTTTATATGTATTTTACCATATAAATATGTACAAATACATATAATTATATCTTTTATTCAATATAAACCTTATAAATAGATATTTCTATATTTATATGTATACAATATATTTTTATACGAAATACATATATATTAATACCTACTAAATACAAATAAATATATTTCTAATATATAAATACGTTTTTAAAGGCGTACATTAGCTTTCAAATGTATATAAATACTAAATAGAAGTAATACATTTTTAAATAATAAATACAAGTAAATATATTTTTAAATCTATACAAATATTGTTATACATTTAAAAACGTATTTAAAAATATACATATAAAAGATTTTTATACATTTAAAACATACTAAACATATATAATAATAATAATAATAATAATAATAATATCAATAATAATAATCAAAATAATCAAAATAACAATCAAAGTAAGGGTAAATCCGAACATTATTGAAAACTCAAGGGCTTTACTGGTATTAGGTAACCGGTAGGTTACCTGGAAACCGGCTAAAATGGTATAAATAAACAAATTAAACAAAACATCCAATTTTACTGGATCTAAAACACATCCAAGGGTAAAACCAACATTTTTGTGAAAATTTAAGGGCTTTTTATGTTATTTTCCCTTTTTTGAAACGTCAAATATATTAAACTACACCTAAATTATTCCACCTATGTCCACTGCGGGACTTGAACCCTTTAATCTCAATAAAGGAGGGCAACACCGGATACCGTTAGTCTACAAACTTTGGTATATAACTATTAGCTAATATACGGTAATTACACGAAACATCATTGTGGAATTTCATTAGACACCTTGCTTTCAGTTAGTTGATGGTTCCGTAAGCTTGCACTTGAAAATAAAAAACCAAATATGTGTAATTCAAGTTGTATAGTTGTAACAGCTCTGTTGATTTTTGGTTTAGCAACGAATCACGACTTTATCGAACAATTGCTCAATGTTAATCTACTTTTTTTATAGTTCACACATAGTCCACTTGGGTGTCGCTTGTTAGTTTCAGCATTGGGAGTCAAGAAGGAAGGGAAGGGTTAGAGATGAAGGCGGGAGATGGTTTCGACTAGTTTTTTCGATGCTCCCATGCTTCACTGACTACCCAAATCTCAACTCTATGAACTTTTGAAGAAACTTGATCGAGTTTAATGGCAGTTTGAAACCGTCTGGGCTTTCGATCTATTCAGGTTATTGATCTGTCTCACAATCAGATTTGTCTCACAATAAGATTTCATAGGGGAAACCACATGTTTTACAGCAGATAATAGTAATTGTGGTTGGAAACCTCACTCGGAACTAAATGTGTTTAATAGCGGTTTGAAACCTCACTCGGCGTAAGGTGGTCGATGAGATACCATCCTTTTCCATTCATTTGATGCTTGCTTGTTAGAAGCTCCAATAGAAGTACGTCGAAGTTGTAGTCTTGTAGATTATCTAAGGAGATAAATGGGGATGAAGATGATGAAGGAAGGTTATGGGCGGTTTAAAGAAGGGAAAGGTTTAATTGGGAGGGTGGGGGTCTATTTTATGTTTTAATTAAAATTAAAATTAGTTAAAAGTATATATATAAAATAAAGTCTAAAATTAATTAAAAGGGTAAAAATTATATTTTGCACGAGTCAATGACTAACCATGCAATAATTGAAACCACGACATTGTTAAAGTTAAAGACTGAACTTTTGAATTTTTATAAAGTACAAGGACTATTTATGTATTTTTTTCATATATAAATATGTAACGTAAATGGCAATTATATGCATGTAATTTTTTTCTCCTACTCCTACCTTGTTTCTTTCATGTTCACAGAGTAAATCATGAAAGAACTCCTTGGTATCCTTCGTGTTTTCGAAGACGGCCGATACGAGAGAATTGAAGTTCACACTATTGTTCCCGCCGACATCGATCCTTCCACTGGCGTGAATTCTAAAGACGCCGTGTATTCACGGGAAACCAACAAATCCGCTAGACTTTACCTTCCAAAAACCGCAAGCCCCAACCATAAACTCCCGCTTTTAATCTTCTATCACGGCGGAGGATTCGTTGATGAATCTCCTTTCGACACGACTTACAATGACTTCCTGAACCTCGTCGTCTCAGATTCCAACGTCATCGCTGTCTCCGTCGACTACAGACTCGCGCCAGAGTTTCCTGTCCCGATCGCCCACGAAGACTCCTGGGAAGCGATCAAGTGGGTGGCGGAGCATGCTAATGGGAAGGGTCCGGAGCCATGGTTGAACGAATACGCAGATCTTCAAAACATCTTCCTCGCCGGCGACAGTGCCGGAGGTAACCTAGCCCACAACATGGCGGTTCGTGTCGGGTCGGATACCCCTGCCGGTTTACAGTTCAAGGGTGTTATCTTGCTCCACCCATATTTCTGGGGCAAAGAACGGGTAGGGACCGAGTCCGACTGGATGTCACCCGGATTAATCGATAGTGTGAATGAATTATTGGCTCTGGCTTACCCAGGAAGATCCGGGATGGATGACCCGCTGATCAACCCAGCTATGGATCCAAGAATAACGGGTATTCTTTGCTCCAAGATACTGCTTTGCGTCAGTGGAAATGATTTTATGAGGGATAGAACAAGAAACTATAAAACGCTGATTGAAAATTGTGGGTGGAAAGGAAATGTAGAAGTGGTGGAGGACAACGAGGAGAGCCATGTTTTTTTCTTGAAGAAGCCTACCTCTAAAAATGCTGTTACTTTGCGCAATAGAATCTCTGCATTTATCAACAGCGCTTGAAGAAGTATACTATGTCAGGTTGATCTTAAAAATAAAATAAAGAAACTGATCACACATGCAGTTCTTACAATACCCTATGTTTAACTGGAAACACTACACGTTCCTTAATTAATTTATTAAATAAACTATTGTCATATTCATATCTATCAAATAAAAAAATTGTGTTTTATTACTTTGTTATTTTTAATTTAATGTATTGTTGTTGTTATTATATTTTTGACATTATTTTGTTATTATTATTACTTAACTTATTATTATCAATTTCAGTTATTATTAACTATATTATTATTTTTTTGATCTGGCGAACAACCCCTCTAATCTACTTTTAAATATTCTATACTTTTGTCCTGTTGAACACTCACTCAATCGCTATATGAGAAGAGGACACCTTTCATATAACTCTTGATACTGTTAAACTAATGGGTCATTAATTTGGTTGTTAACTATATTATTATTCTTATTATTATTATTATTATTATTTAAATTTCCTTAAAATCCTGTTTCAGTTAATTAAAGTCTGGATTCCATTAATACTTTATTTCAAAATAGAAATTAGAAAGAGGACTAATATTTTATTAAGTTGTAAAGTCCAAAATTCTCATTTCATGTTTTCATTTTTATAAGCATTTTCGTTTGTTTTAATCAATGTTAAGTAGAATTAGTTTTATTAGGGTTATTATTTTGTGGAAGGTTTTCAACAAAGGCAGTCTTCTTGTCCTATGTTAGTGTTGTCGACCATTCTATACCCCCCTTGTCTAATTTGTATGGGAATGGTAGTTTTATAGGGTGGTTGATATCGATATGCATGAGGGATGGAGAGAACGAGGTTGACCAGTGATGGCTCGGGATGAGCTCGATCGATGTGAAAGAAATATGGTTTCTAAGGAGAAAAGAGGTTAATTAATGTTCGTGATGGATGTGCTGATTTAGGCAGGGAAAAAAAAATAAGAAAATATAAATGAGGGAGGGAAGAGCTGGATGGAGGAGGCGAGAGAAGTGGCACCCATACTGTCCACCCTAAAGAAACCAAATGCACAAACTAACCAAAATTTCTTAATTTTATAAAGAAACCAAAATGAGAAATAGAAACTAACTGCACAAACAAAATAGTAGGAGGTAAAATATTTAATTTTATTTAAAGGGATATTCACAAAATATAATTTTTTCTAATTCCGATAAACAATTTAGCTAAGAATTCATCAAATGATCTTCACCTTTGCATATGAAATTCGAGATGTATTCATAAACGCTTGGAATGAAATGGACCTTAATTATCAAACATGCCTAATCCTTCTTGAAAAATGTAAAGGCGGTTAAAGAGGCAAAAAAGAAATGGACAAAGGAAAATAGAGAGATTGAGCTTGAAGAAGTCAATGAATTGAAGAAAAATGTGGAACACTTAGATCTTATGGTTGGATCACTTTCTTATCCACTCCCGAACATGAAAATTGCAAATCTTGGAAGAAACAATAATGGAGTTTGACCCTAACCAAAACTTAGACTCGAGGCAAAAAAGCCAAGCTAAATTAGGAGGTGGAAGACGAGAAGGGGTAAAAAGTTATCCATTTTCCATGGCATTATAAATGGAAATTAAAAAAAAAATAATAATTAAATTAATGGGTTGTTTACGAATAGTGTGTGGAATATAGAGTTTCATCTTTGATATTTTTGCTATGAATTTTAAAGACGATGTTTCATGCAGGCGAACATTAACCATCAACCACTTCAAAAAAAAATGTAATCTTCAAAAAAAATGAAGTTTACTCATGTCGAAATAAAACAAGCAATTTGGAGTTGTATGAGCAAAAAAACACTAGATGGGTTAACTTTTAAGTTCGTCAAAGAATTTTGAGACATTATTTTTACAATGACCATTAAAAATTCAATTCCACGAGTAGCATTTCAGGGGATGCGACTTATCTTTTGTTTCAGTTATACGTAAAATCCATCTCCCCTTCTCATTTACGCATTTTAGACACATTAGTTTAATGAGGTACTTCACTAATGGTCAAGAAAAATTCTTTATAACCACCTAAAAAAATATCCTTTACCATGACATCATAATGATTGCATGAGAAGACAAAAATATTAATACCTATCCGTGGTCTAGGTGGCAACGAACCACAACCACAAACACCATCTCGGGTGTTAGTTGTGGCTCGTGGTGGTGGTCGTCGATTGTAGTATACATGACGAATCACCATAGCCAATCACAATTGTTTTGATGTTTGACTGAACATTTAAGTGATTAACCGCTACTTTATATATTTTTGTTTTTAAATAAATTTTTACCAATATAAATACCATCACATGCCACCATATTTTTAATATAATTTTTCTTTTCTTTTATTAACATTCACATATTTGTATTGTTTTAAAATTTAAAAATCATGAGTCCCAAACGGATGAATTTGTCAGAAGATGAAGAATAGAAGTTAGCACAAGCATGAATATCGGTTTTCAAAAGAATAAGATAACTAAATCTTTATTTTTTTTTTGGAAAAAGTTCGAAGCGTTTACTAAGGTTTAATGGGTTGTGCAAGTCGAAATCCCGATGAAATATGTTCGAAGTGGCACGATTTAAGGGTAAATGTTGTAAATTCAATGGAATTTACAACATTGTAAACAATCTACACGAAAACGATATCGATGTGGTTAACATGGTCATGGATCAATATTAAAACACAACCCACAAACTTTTTCCACGTCTCAAAGTTTAGCTAGAGTTGAAGGAATCCTCAAAATAGAGAGACTAGTTTAAAACATAAGCTAGGATTAGAAGTAGTTTATTATGTTTAAATTTTTTTTATGTTTTCTTGTATTTTATTTTAAATTGTGTGTTTTTTTAATTAATCTAATTTCTTTTGTTTTGTTAAATGAAAAAATAGATTAACAAAATTCTATGTTTTTATTGTATTTTTTGTTTAAATTTTAATTAAAAAAATGATGTAGAATGATAATTTAGTGGTAGATATCCGATGAGTATAGTGGTTGGATGTAGGGCTGTAAACGAACTGAACGTTCGGCGAACTGTTCGTGAACTGTTCGGCGGGAAGTTCGTTTATTTAATAAACGAACGAACATGAACACAAATTCTCGTTCGTTTAGTTAAACGAACGAACATGAACAATGGTCTCGTTCGTTCATTTACGTTCGTGAACGTTCGTTTATGTTGTTTGTTTACGTTTGTTTATGTTCGTTCGTTTAAGTTTTTTTATCTTCATATATTTTCAATTGTTTTTTTTATTACATTACTATATTATAGTTCGTTTATGTTCATATATGTTCAATTGTGTTTGTTTATATTTGTTCGTTTATGTTCGTTCGTTTATGTTCGTTTAGCATGTTCACGAACATAAACGAACGAACATGAACAAGACAATTTGTTAAACAAACGAACATGAACAAGAAAACTTTGTTCGTTTATCCGTTCATGTTCGTTCGATTGTTCGGCTAACTTAAACGAACGAACATGAACAAGCCTTTGTTCGTGTTCGTTCGGTTCGTTTACAGCCCTAGTTGGATGTGTTGAAGAGGTGACACCCATCGTATTAATGGTTAGAGTATCCATAATGATGAGTTCAATTAGAGAGTTGAATCAGTTGATAAGTCTATTTGTCATTTAATGAATTAAACTCTACCATAGTGAAATGTTACATTAGTATTCAATGGATTTAAATGATCATTGAACTCTTAAATGGAAAAAAAATTAATTTTTAAATATACATTATAAAGTAGCTTTTGTAAATTTTCTATTAAATTTTGTAGAGTTCAATGCATTATAGAAAAAAAAAACAAACAACTGATCGAGTTGTATGGAATGTAAAAAAACGATGTGACAATTCATTGAACTCTATAAAGTTCAATGTATTATAGATATCCTTAATGGTGGATATATCTGATGGTCTAAAAGTAATATAAATATTACATAAGAATTTATCAATATAAACTTTCCTTTTAAAATATACCGGCAAATAAACGAGAATTCTTTCATGATATTTTTGGTTATAACTTTTGGAAAAGAAATATTGTGATAACATACGACCACTTATTACTATCACTTTAATCAAAAAAATCTTAAACAATTAATATATATATATATATATATATATATATATATATATATATATATATATATATATATATATATATGGGAAAAATGAATATACCCTTGAGGGTATATAAGATTAGGAACCCAATAATCAAAACGGTGTCGTTTGATTAGTGTTTTTGACTCCTTTTTGTGGGAAAAGAAAATCGATACGTGAATAAGTTTTACAAACAATGTTTTCATTAAAAGAATTTTGAACAAATCAAACATTAAATTGTATTAAACAATTTTTTTCACTCCTTAGTTTACAATTAATTGCTACTTGTCGTAGGACCACCGTCGGATATCCACCAGACCACCGTTGGACCGCCACTGGAATAACAAATTCAGTGGCATTTTTTTTGTCGTATTCACAGCTTAATAAAACAAACATTATAACTCATATTTCTTTAGTAATAACTTTTAACACATACATTTTTATTTTTGCAGCCAAATATATAAAGTTTAATAAAAAAATGACATTATGCCTTGACAAATTCATTTCCCCTCTTCTGAATTGTAAATCTCTTTAAAACAATATATCGTTTATAAGACATAATCACAGTTTAAAAAAATAGTAATTCACTAGTTCACATTCTATTATTTTTATGCATGCATTTAATCATATTTTAACACAAAATTTAAATAAAATACACAGCTTATACAGTCTATTATTAATTTAATACATAAAATTCACAAGTTAATACAATCCACTATACACTAATTTACATATTCAGAGAAGTCAAACTCAAACTCTATCAACATCACCAACAACTACTATCATACGCCGCCACCAACCACCTGTGCCACCGTCACAACCATCCATCCTTCCAAATCAGATATGTAAGTAAAATCATGGATTCATAGATTAAATATTATATTAACAGTTTAATCAACTAATTAATTCACTAATTTGGAGTTTAATGCAAAATAGTTATAAAAACTAATACATTCTTATATATTTGTACTACACAAAAAATAAATATATCCACAAAAAAAATAATACAAACATTCATACATAAATCATTCATATTTTAACACAAAATTCACAGCTTAATGTCAATTTACAAATTAACACAGTCAATTCATAATTTAGTATGCAAAATTCACAGCTTAATATAATAAATTCACTGTTTAATACACACAAATTATACATTCACATCCGATTATCAATTTCAAACTTACATTTATATCTTTAGATCTATATGTTAGTACTTATTTCAAAGTTTATTTACATAAATATTTACAATTTAATATTTACATACTTTATTCAATATTTGAGAAAATCATATGTGTATAATGTTTCTTTCATCTCATATTTCAGAAACAAACACGAAATTTATAAAAGATTCACAACTTAATACGGTTAATTCACAACTTAATACAGTCAATTCGCAGTTTAATACATAAGAATCACAGTTTAATACAGACAATTCACAACTTAATACATAAAATTCACGACTTAATACAATAAATTGACAGTTTAATACCATATTTCAAACACTTATTCACAGTTTAAACAACAGTTTAGACAATCGGTCACAATTTAATACTGCAACTCAGACACCCATTCACAGTTTAAAGACCTATTCTAATGCACTAAGAAATTTCATTAAACACATTGTGTATCAAATTTTAAGGATGTATATTATTTCCTCGTTAGGTTCCACATAATTAAAGTTCATTTACTATATATATATATATATATATATATATATATATATATATATGGAATTGATCATTAGATTAAAACTTATATTATTTAGAATGCTACATAGTATTTTATCGTTAAGTTTCACGTAATCAATGTCAAAGTAAAAGTTCATTTAGTATATATATATATATATATATATATATATATATATATATATATATATATATATACGGAATTGATTTTTAAATTAAAGCTTGTATTATTTATAAGGTCAATAATTTAGATTTTTTTAATTACTAAAATTAGCAAGCTATTTGATTTGTCCAAAATTTTAATAGTTTATTAATGTAGTTTCAAAGTAGTAAAGGTTCGACGTTTAGACCGTCATCTTTCAAAAAAAAAGTTATATGAGCAGTAAAAACAAATTGATAAATATTATAATATTTAATATATATTAACATTATAGTTTTTTAAATATATTATTTAAAAAGCAAAAAGTATATAATTGAAAAAATATCAGTGAGTTAATATAAATATATAAATATTGATAATATTTAAAAACAAATTGATAAATATTATATTATTTAATATATATTAACATTATTGTTATTTAAATATATTATTTAAAAGGCAAAAAGTGTACAATTGAAAAAATATCGGTGGTTAATATAAATACATGTGAGGGCTGGCTGGGGTTGTTTGTATGTTAGTATTGTTTGCGATTGTTTTTTTCTATTACTTTTGCTTCCCTCTTTTTTTTTTTCTGAATATTTTGTATGCTTGCTAGCTCCGCGCTAGCTGTTTATTTATAATATATTTTGTTGCTGTTAAAAAAAAAAAAGGTAAATTACACCGTTCGTCCCTGGTGTGGGTGTCCAAAAACATGTTCAGTCCCTATTTTCAAAAATTAACTCGGACCGTCCCTCATTTATTTAAAAGTTGCACACTTCATCCCTCTTGACATAAAAAGTCTATTTTGCCCTTAATATTTTCTTTTTTAGTTTTCTTTTATTCTTTAATCATTTTTAAACTTAAAATAAATAAATAAATTTCTCCACCTAACCACCCTCCCCTTCCCTTTCCCCCAATGTCCCGTTCTCAATAATTAGAAGAAAATTCCCCACCTCCGATCAATACCCTCTGGCGATTCATCGGTGACTTTTCAACCTCCACCCCATTCTCGTTCCAGACTCACCTTAGCACCTCCGCTTCACCGTCGATTCTCTTCCTGAGTTGACTTAAAACCGGTCTAACAAACACCGGTCACACACTCCATATACAACCTCCTGAAACCGTCGGTCGATCTCCAATTACGGTGGGGACATATGACGGAAACAGAGATTCCAGGTGGTGGTGGTGTTGAATCTGAGACCCCCAAAGTAAAATTTGTCATGAAACATGCAGCTGCTCGAAAACTTAGGCGACAACCATCTTAGATTTGAGGTACAAGGTGGTGCAACCGACAGTGATTCAGGTGATGACAAACCCTAGATTGTTCGACGATGACAACACATTTCAAACCCATGGCCATATTTCTTCGAATCTTTTTCTCGTTTGGAACTGAAATTGAACCCACCCATTCCTTTCATGTTTCTTTTAGGTACAGATCGAGAATGGAACACACCTTTATAATTTAGGTATTGTTTTTTTCTAGTGAGGTGAAGAAGACAACGAATTGGAGGTTGGGGTGTATGAAATCGACGAACAGGGGAGTTTTAATTTCTTTTTTAAATTCTTTGTGTGATCACTGATTTGCATAAGGTGCTGGCCTGGTGGGGGTGTGATGATTAAGGTGGTGGTTGGCAGTGGGTTATGTATAGTGTTGATGGTGGTTGTTAGTGGGTTATGTATAGTGTTGATGGTGGTTGTTAGTGGATGGATATAAAGGTGATTATGGTGGTAATGAATTCCAGGTGAGATGGCTTTAGTGACGCAGCCACCAACTATACCGCCAACATCCCTCAAAAATCAGATAAGGTTAGAAAAATCAGAATTCACAGTTTAATAAAATATTTCAAACATTAATTCTAAACTTAATTCAATATTTCAAACTAGTTCACAACTTAGATGCATAAAAAGTACACTTTCACAGCTTAATAACTTAGATATTCACAAATTAATAATAAAAAAACAAATATTCATAGCTTAATGACTTTCCAAATCTATGTGTGGCATTTCATCAAGCACTTTGTGTGCATCAAACATACTTTATTAAAAATTATAGAAAATCATATTTATGCATAATGCTTCCTTAATGTTATATTTCCAAACACCAAAAGAAAAACATATACATAAATCATAAAAAGAATAACTAATCTAACTAATCTAATTTGTTTTGTATTAAATATGTATCAGAGCATAAAAAATTCATTCACAAAGTCAAATCTGAAGTTATATTACCTGATTTGAGTGAAACTCCATTCGATTTACATAATGCTTGTCGGGAAGGACATACTTTCAGATCAAGAGAGAGTGAGAGTGTGACATAGCGTGTATCAATGAAGGCAGCGAATGAGGCGTCGATTTGAGAGCATATGAAACAACATAGATGGTGGGGGAAGGAATCGATCTGACCATAAGTTGTGACAGCTGAAGGTCTTCGGTGGTTGGAGACGAAGAAGGTAGCTAGAGGTGGTCGGAGATGAAGTAGACGTGGAGGAGGTGAATATGGTGGATCTTCAACGCTCACCGGAGTTGTAGATCTGGAGAAAAGAGATTGCCGGTGGTAGAACATCGGAGATCAAAGAGAAAAGAGGAAGGCGATTTTTTCTGGTGTTCTAGTGAGGTCAGATGTCGGAGACGAAGCATACATCACTAAGATCGAACCAGTACTGAGCACAAATTGTAAAGGAAAATCGCCAGATTCATAAATCTCCTAACAAACCATCAGAAACGAGAGTCAGAGGTGGTCCTTCGTCGGATATCACATACAAGGAGTTGTTCAATTGCTGGAGGTGTTCGGTCGTCGGAAAAGTAACGACGGTGGCAAACGCCAACAGTGATGGTGGTGGTAGTGTCTTTGTCGGAAATTATGGCAATGATCAGAGGTTGCGACAGAGGAAGAGAAGTGGCGGTGGATGGGCCGTCGCCGGCGGTGTGGCGGTGGAAGGTTGCCGTCGACGGTGGTTGAGGTGTGGGTGTTCATCCACATGGTTGAAGAAGTTGAGAGGATTTTTTTCGGATCTAAATCTAAGATCCGATGAAATGGAAGACATAAAATAAAAAAATTGGATTTAAGTTTTGTTTTATTTACAATCATGCCACTTTTTTGTTTTACATAGGACAAAAATAGTCTTTTAGTAACAGTTATTCGATAAATAATAAATATCCGATAAGGTAAAAATAATAGGTTCTTAGTAGTCTTTAGTAACAGTTATTCGATAAATAATAAATATCCCATAAGGTAAAAATAATAGGTTCTTAGGTTTCTTAATCTGGTTCTTTTATATATATATATATATATATATATATAATTAATGGTTTAAGAAATAGTATATCTTTTGAACTTTAGATAGCTACAATATTTTATAGGATTGACAATTTTAGTCCCTCGCTAATTAGACTTGGGCCCTTATTGTCGGTTTTATCACTGCTCCCACATCCCCTGCTTCCAATTAAATGTACCCACATGTTCCATCGCCTTAAATAAAGAAAGATTTCTTCCTGCTTATTCTTTTATTCTCCCACCAAATTAACGGACTGTTACCGCATCTTCTTCGCTTATCTGTCTTCCTCTTCTACTATGCATCTACTTCCCCATTACACAATGTTCCCATCTAAAATTATGTCGTCGTCATTGTCTTCAGCTTCGTCCATCGCTATCGTCGCCACTGTTGGAGAAGAAGACTGACATATGTTCTAACCAACAAGCCCTAAAAGCACAGTTCACACTTCAGATCTTCAAATTTGATTTGTGTGTTTGGTAGTGGGAATGATTTCCATCAGCACCCCTAATCAGGTGATTTTTTCTTTAACTTTTAGCTCTCGATTATCACTCTAAACCTCAACAAAATTTTGGGATGCATTTGTTAACTCATCAAAAGTACAGTTGCTAGAGCAGACTCAAATAAAAAATGGAAACTCAACCACATACCTCCTTACCCTTTCTTTACCTTTAATAAACTTTCTTTTCTAGCACTTACTTTTTTTGTGTCCGAAAACTGAATTATGATGAGTTGTGTTGCGCAGCCTGACCATTCAGCATGTCTGACTATAGATATAGTAACATCAATTTTTTCTCACCGATGTTGAGTTACACTTTGCCAATTCTTCGTGTATATATATATATATATATATATATATATATATATATATATATATATATATATATAAAGAAACTAGTTTTTTTTATTTTTATCAGTGCCAATGGATATACACAAATGGATAGACTATCAGAAACATATAAGCATAGATAAAGATCTAAAAACTTGGTTTTGGTAAGCTAAGAAACTTAAAATTAAAGGGAAAATCTTGGTTTAGGTAATCCAGAAAGTTTAGAATTAAAGAAGGGCTTATGACTTATAAATGAGAAACTATGCCCCATGTACATAATTGTTCACTGTCATTTTAATTGTGCATAATAGATCATTAAAGTGAATATTTGTGTATTAAAATACTACTATCAGTGGATATTGCGGGTGATAATGGTTTTTTTATACAATACTATTTACTTTAAAATCTAGTTTGTATAGTGGTGTGGTTTTTATCCATATAAGTGTTTTTTATATAAAAAAATTGAAGGATTTTTTGTATAAATTTTTCTATTTTTAGATATGTTGAAATATTTAATCCGAGGTTTGGGTTTAACCGGAGGGTCTTATCAGATATTGTCGGTGTATACATCGGTTTTGAACTACTATATTGATTTTCCTCACCTTGGTTCGGCACATAGATCGCCTATTTCATGTAAACATCAGTCTCACGCATTGAGTTAGCATCTTAGCATCTACATGGATTGTGGTTTCCACCATCTTCATTTGTAGGAATTGGTTACATAGCTCCAGACGCAATGATGACTCCATTCACTCCTAAATGTAACCATTCTTGCCTCATTCTGCATCTGCATTATATATGTAGTATCCATGTCAACGATATGGGCCGGCGTTCATTTATCCTTATAGGTTAAAGACTATACATAATTTTTTATTGACTTATACTATTTTTCACTTTATATGTATTTGATTGATTTATGTAAAAAATTAAATGCATATAAATTGTTTGTCAAAATGCCTAAAAGAGACTTTTTTATGAATTCAAATAAACAATAATATATTAGTGGTTACATAACCTAGATGTTGAGCATGTATGGTTTCGTCAAAAGATATATCTTTTAAATCTATGAGGTTTTCGTTGATTTCTTCATGTGTTCCTGAAATTTTATAGAGAGAGAGAGAGAGAGAGAGAGGGGGGGAGGGACATATTGTAATTCATAGCTCACTAATGTTGCAGATTTTGTTTCGTGTGTCTGTGTGAGACTGATTGTTTTTACGTATACTGTTAATATGAGTGTTATTGACTACTGTAATCCATCCCTTACTCATATCCATGAACCTTGTTTGAAAACTTTGTGGTTGACTTCTTATGTATCCACAAAACTCGATTTTATCAAAGAAAGATGACCCTTCTTAAAAAATAGTCTAATTATCCTTTACTTTGATGCAGGTCCTTTATATCTTCGATTGTTGTTGATGTGTGAACTATAATTCTACAGATGAGTCAAACATCCTATGAAGAAGGTGAAAAGAAAGTTCCTACACAAGGAGCCTTTGATCGCATGACATATTGACTTAGTACTCCATGTCTATTTTCTACACTTTTTCGGTGGTCTGTTTAATGCAAGAACTAACATGTAAGTATTTATTTTATAATGTTTTTTTTTAACTCTTTGATTTTTTTGAAGAAATCCACACAGGTCTCATAAATCTATTTTTTGACATTTAACATATTTTGATTTGCTTACATTTCAGAAATTAAATGTTCAAGATTTCTAAAATCAATGGAATTCTAAGTACAGTTCAAATATTAGTATCACCTTCATGAAGGACATGGTATAGTTTTTATATACGGCTGAAAGGATGTCTTTAATCAATAGTTATGCAATCACTATTCAACAATTATGTCTCCCTTCTTAATATTTTTTTTGTATTATTTTTTTATATAATAATAGCCACTTATATTTTTTTAACCCATAATATAATTATACATATTTTGTTATATAATAACTTAGTAAAAACCCATTATATTTGTTGCCATTTTCAATCTATTAATAGTTTTTATATATATATATATATATATATATATATATATATATATATATATATATATTCAGACTATAAAAGTTTCTGATATTTTTCCAAACTACCAATTTTAACAACTTAGTAAAAAAAACCATTATATTTGGATAATTTGGCAGTTTAACTATTTTGAGTATATTTTCAAAACCACTACACTTTCAAAAAAAAATGTCCAATGTTATCATAAACAGAAAATGAAAGTAGGATGCTATAATACGCATTAAACGAAAGTAGATTGCTATTCTTTTATAATTAAGTATAGAAAACATTCTTATGTAGCTTACCATATTTTGTTTATGTTTCATTAATTTTTACTTAATAAAGACATAAATAATAACTTCAATATATATATATATATATATATATATATATATATATATATATATATATATATATATATGAGCTAGGTTCAAATGTTTCTAGCAACTATTGTGTGCATGAATGCACCAATAGGAAATTAGGAAAAAATAAATAATTAAATAAATCATTTAAGGGTATTATAGTAATCTTTGCATAATTAATTATGGTAGATCAACAACAATTTTTTATATCACGCAAGAAGCAAAGATAAATATAGAACATTAGCCCTAAATCAATTTCACCGCTTCCCACCACCCCTGTAGATCGATTAAAAACAACATCGAAGAGGACACCTTCAAAGGACGGTAATACCATTTTTTTTCTTCTTCTCTCTTCCACAACTGCCTCTTCCAGATCGAATCTCCCCCCCCCCCTGCAATCTAGGTTTCCACAAATCTCCTTAAGCTCTTCCGATTACATTTGTTGAACCTCTCTTCTTCACGATCTGCCCACGTCTCTTCAAGTCCTGACACTATTATTTACATTTCAAAGTACATAAACCCTTTTCCCCTTTTCAATATTTACAAAGATTTGATTCAATCTTACCTCTGTTTTAGCAATAGTTGGTGTCCGATTTGATTTTTTCTTCTATCGTTTTTTGGTTTTGTACCGATCATGACGATTGCTGATTCGGGTGCCCTAATGGATAACGAATCACTATGCTTGTCGTGCACTCCAGAGGAAGAGCGAAGGATTGTTAAGGAGTTAACATATAAGGCCGAGTTATGTTTGAAAGAGGGCAACTTATATTATGTCGTCTCCAACAGGTAATCTAATGTATATCTAAGTTAACTTATATTATGTCGTCACCATTTCTCTCTGTCTTCTCTAAGTTAACTTATCTAATGAATTAGATTAGTATGTTAGTGTGTTTGGCTGTACTTTATCTTATTGCATGTAAGGTGTTTGTGAAAATGTCTAAAAGAGAACTTGATATAATATATACAATTTGTTTGATCGGTGGGTTTGGATGTGCATTATCTCCCAGATATCATCCCTCGGCATGGAATGATATCTCGTCCGTCTCATATCCTCATCTGTAGCGTACTGTGGGATCAACAATGCTCGTTCCCGAAACTTGGCAGTGATCTCTGCTACGATCTCGGTGGTCTGCTGAAGGTTATGAAACTCCCTCACAAGTCGTTGCACCTCAATAGGTGGTGCAAATTCCGCATCGAATCGCCGAACAAACTCGACCCACGTCATCTCAGCCACACCGGCTGCTCCCACCTGGCTGGTCACCTCTCCCCACTAATCTTGGGCTCTGTCTCTCGGCATACATGAAGCAAAACCCACATTTGCCGCATCAGGGCAAGAACTCGTGTGTTGGGCGTTCTCAATATCCGCCACCCAGCGTCGGCTAACAATGGGGTCCCTAACCCCGAAAAACTTCGGCGCTCCACACGCCTTGAACTACCGAAACGAGGGAGTTCGGGCCCCGACCTGGCCCGCAACAATCTCGGCTCTGAATGACCTGAGCCTCTCCTCCATAATCTCCATCATCCCCTCCTTGAACGTCCCAAAGATCACTGGGGTAGCGTCAAGGAT